GAGAGAGAGAGAGAGAGAGAGAGAGAGAGAGAGAGAGAGAGAGAGAGAGAGAGAGAGAGCACTTTCGTCGGACTTTTCTGGCCCTGCCCCCGACCCAGCGCGCCCTCTCCATTTGCCCCTGCTTTGCCACCGTTTCGATTTCGCGCCTGCGCACTTTCGTCGGACTTTTCAGCCCCGGCCCCCGGTCCTGTGCGCCCTTTCCATTTGCCCCTGCTTTGCCACCGTTTCGATTTCGACCAAAACCCGTTCCGACCAACACCCAAAGCGCAGTCCCACCGGCAGCTACCGGTCCCTCATTTTTCAGACAAACTGCCACACCCCCCCAAAGTGCCATACCTGCACCTTCTTGCATTTTTCGAGCCTTCCACCGACCACAGGACCCGTAATGAACGACCGGTATAACGAAGGATGACGAAAAAATGTCCCCATGTCTCAAAGGGGGAATAACGCACCCCTGACGGGCTGCTAATACATACACACCTCTAATGACCTACAGAACTAGTATTACTTCCCGTAATAAACTGACCTACAGAACTAGTATTATTTCCCGTAATAAACTATGTTGAAGCGCGGACAGGACGAGCTTGATATATAAGCCAACATTCGCATAAGTTGCTGTGCTAGAAGCCCACACCGCATAAAATAATCTCTCGGCTGGAGTGGGGCATGGGCGGGACCTGGACCCGGAGAGCAAGTAAGGCTGGACGGCGGAAACCTGGTCCCGGCCGCTGTTCCCGCTGACCTGGATCCAGCCCATTCCCAGCCCAGGTTTTTTCTTGTGGAGGACACCTGCTTTTTCTTTATGTGCGTGCGCGTGCCGGCAGTGGTACGGCGTTGTTTGTAGCAGAGTAAGCAAACGGACTCCATCGCTGCTAGAGCAGTTTAACTTGCTGACGCTAAAGAGATCAGAGGTGGTCCCGCAGTACGTAGGCATCAAGGCGTCAGTCATGGCGGGCGGAGAGAGTGGTAAGGTGGAGGATCATGCATCGACGACTTCAGCTGCAGCTGCCGAGGAAGAGGAGAGAACCCCGGAAGAGGAGGAAGACACGGGAGCGAACTTCGCTCCCCTTGTCAAGCTGGAAGAGGTGGCAGTAAGCACAGGAGAGGAGGCTGAAAACACCTTGTTTGAGATGTGAGTCACCTTCGCATAACCATTCAAAACTGCGTGACACTATGGGGTGCTGTTTGACGCAATAACCTTCGCATAACCATTCAAAACTGCGTGACACTAGTGCGTTTGACGCCAATCCTACATATCACGTTTTCCATCTACGGCGGCGCATGATGTTAAAGTAGCGTTGTTCCTATTGTAATGTTGCACGCTTACTTGTTTTGTAAATTGTACCGCGTTCCGCGATGAACTCGAAGCAGCGGTTTGCCTCGTCTAGCTATGTTTTGTCTTTGCCTTATTCTGTCGCTCGTTCTCTATTCACTGCATTTGGTTGTTCTGTGTTGATGTTGGTGCTTGTGTTTTTGGGGTTCCTGTGACGACGACAGCAAAGCGAAGTTGTACAGGTTCGACAAGTCGAGAAGCGAGTGGAAAGAGCGTGGAGTCGGGCAAGTTAAGTTGCTGGAGCATAAGGAGACGAAGAAAATCCGCCTGCTCATGAGGCAGCAACGCACGTTGAAGATCTGTGCGAATCACGGTGGTGAGTATAGTTGCTCTGATGGGTATCTTCTTCCTCGCAACTTGCGGGCTATTCGGTTGATTAGGGCATTTTATCATGTAGGAGAAGTTCTGAGTCGCATGCTCAAGGAGCGTATGTATGCAGAAGTACACGTGGCTTAAGAATGCTATGTATGAGTTCATCGGCCGCCTGGTTCATAGTCGGGGTTTTTTATATGGGCACCGGCGAAGTCTACCTTTTGCGACCCTAACCTAAAGGAGGTGGATGGAGAAGCGCGTAAGTGAGCGCCTGCTGAAAATGCCGTGAACGTGGGTTTTGTCGGTGTACATAATGCTCTATGCTCTACGATGTCTGTAAGTTTAGTTTTCGGCCGTCCGCTAAACTCTTGGGTCATGTCGATCGCGTTGCCGATTTTATCGTCCATTTGGTTGATCTTTGTGTATGTTGCTGGGGCTGTACTGTCACCCACTCGTGCAGTTTCGCCTATTATACCGTCATATCTATCATGGTTAGAAAAGTTGTTTTTCTGCGGCAGCGTTCATCCTCACCATGGCCGCTCATCGTGCAATAGCTGGCTGGTACCGGCTCGTGTATGCGTCTATCATGCGTAGTCTTATGATGTTGTCATGTGCACTGTTTCGGGAGCTTGTATCGTCTTCCATTCCAAGTAAAGGTCTATGTTGATGTAGCCATGTGCGCACCGTTTCGGTAGTTAGTCTTTCATCCCATGTGTAGGTGGATGTTATTCCGCTGTACGGTAGCAGCAAGCGGTAGTGAGATTATTGCGTTTGCAATGTCTACACGGTTTTCTGTAGGACATGCGCAGTTTTTCCCCTTTGTCCTGACGGTTTGGAAATTGAGAATATGGATGTCGCTGTTCCCGCTCTGGAAGGTGATCCCCTAGGAGCTTGGTGTATATGCCTTTGGCTAGACGTCATTGATGGTGATTAGCGGGAGCGGCGTTGTGTGGGAGGGGCAGACGTTCATCACTGACCTCTACCAAAATTAGCACGCTAATGGAGAGCTGTATGACAGGAGTAGAGAAGATCACTATAATCTGCGGCGCAACCGTTCTTACCTTTCCGAACGGGACAGGTTTGTTTCCATTTGGATGCGCAGGGGTTGGCCCCCTTATCTGGGAGTCGGTGACGGTGTAACGGGGGGTCCAGTGAAACAAGGACAAATAGGTTAGGGAACTCCAAGCGAGTAGTTGTGTTAATGAGCCGTCTAATGGGCAACCATTGCGCACGGCTCGGAGGTACAAGTCTGTGCAAATCGCATTTGTTTTGTCCCCTAACCCTTTTGATGATGCCAGAAGTCGTTTTGGTATATGATTGTACCTTCCGTTCTTTTTTTCCCTTCTGGGCCGAATATGTGCCACCGTATGAACTGCTCATTTGTACAATCAATATGCTAGTAAATGACAGACTGTTGAAGTCCGCATCGGAGACGGACAGGACTAACGTCCTTGAAGATACTCGTAGTGAAGAACTCGCTGCGAAGACTCGAGCTCCTCGTGAAGAGTGATCACTGGGAATGGACAACCTTTGGTTGAACCCCGACCGTGTCTCTGATACGCAGCTGAGTGGAATGCTCGTGAACGTGAGATGCTGGTGACATAAAATACCCGGATGTGTCTCGGCAAGCAGATCCTCTCTGTGCGCACGGTTGTCGTTGAAGTTAATGATGAGCATCGCGCTCTCCAGTTTGTACGGTTGCTTGTCGTGGTTCCCTCTCTCTCCGCTTTCCGATTTGTTTCCAATTTTAAACATGCTGTTCATTCATTCGTAGTCAAGTTTTTAGCCGCGCCCTGTTCGGATCGTTTAGTATCTTGCAAGTAGTGCAGTTCTCCTCCGAGCAGTTGTCGAAGTCTCTTTGTTGCTTTCCCAGTGGCTTAACTGGTTCAGAAGTTTTTGTCTTGCGGGGAACGCTAGAATGGCGAGTCGGTCTGGTGCGCTTCTCGAGATGGAAAATCCGTCGTGCTGAATGAAGTCGGTTGCTCAGTTTGTGGGGTTTGTCACATTGATTGCATTCATTCCCGTCTTCTTTTGCTAATGCTTGCGTTCCGATGTTACTTCGACGGTGGGTAAATGTTGTCGAACTAGTGTTCCTCCAGTCATTGAGTAATGGGCGCGCATCTCTCTGGTTGCGGATGAGCGGGGAGCTGCGGTCTGTCCAATTGTCGATGATGTGAACTAGAATCCCTCTAGATGTCGATGAATGAGTAGGACATATTTCTCTGGTGGCGGACGAGTGAGGAACTGGGGTCTGTCCTATTGTCGATGTCGACTCGTTTGAAAGCCAAGACCACATGGCGTGTGAGCTACCTGGGAATTCTGGGGAAGGTGTGGCTTGGCGGCAAGCTTACCACATTGCGTGTGAGCTACCTGGGAATTCTGGCGAAGGTGTGCGTTGGCAGCAAGCTTCCTGCGAAAACCGTAGCTCTTCGGCCGCCTATTCGATGTGTCCAGTGGTGGGTGTGTTGCTGTGCGGGAGGCAGGTATCATCAGGACGTTCTGGCCGCGTCCCTGTCGATTACCTGTCTAATCGGGCGCGGAGCGCGTGATGTACTTGGCCGAGGCGTTCAGCTGGCCTGATGTCGTTGCCGTCCTATTGCTAGTTCCGCTTGTCTGTGGCAACGCTGGGGTGATTGACGTTGGATGCTGTTTCGTAGTGGCGCTGCTTTCCGATCACTCTGGTGTTTACTGAAGGAGTACCTGTATTATCATCCAGAGGCGGAGCAGTCATGGGAATGAACGGCAGTGCGACATCTTGTCGTCATTTGGGTTGTCCCTACAATAGCGGGCAGAAGCTGACGATACGGCGCAGTACCATCGAGGGCACCGGATTAAGGCTGGGGAACTGTAGTGGCATGTAGTTCTGCTGCTGATGAATGACGAGTGCCGTGGGATGTAAGTCTGCTGCTGACAGAACACATCACGCACTGACAGTACTCTGGGCGGGATACGACCGTGGAATTTACCTAGAGTTAATGATCACGTCCGCAATGGAAGGGAGGCAGCAGGTATTCTCTCTCGGTAAGGTTTCCTGTTGACATAGCCGGCGGTGAGCTGCGTTGTTTGACCGCGATGGACGGTCCGTTGTGATTTCCCACTCGAGGAGGATTGGACTGAGCAAAGCTTGTTTGCGAGCATACGGGGGCTGCAATCGTGTGGCGGAGGGTATGTTTGATGACGGTTGGATGGTGGGAACGGCAATTTACAGTGAGTTTGTCGTTCTATGTAGCTGTGGCTGCGAACGGTTGAGTATAGGAACCAGATTTTGTGGTTTTCGTTGTATGATTTCGAAGAACTAGGCTGGGCGATCGAACCCGCGGGATCGTATGGTTGAAGTCGTCGTATGCACATCCGGTCGGTGAGGTGGGTTGGGTGACTTCAAAGAAGCGATGCGCAGGACAAGTCGGGTCTTTAGCTGTGTTGGCGTTCGCTGGCTTGTTTAGAAGGGAGGCTGCGACGGAATGAAGTAGACGAGATGGGGTTGTGTTGGTGTTTATGAGGGAGGGGTGCATGTGGGTTACGTCATAATCTGGGCAGATGGTGGCTGATAGCAGTAGGGATGATGCACTAGATGGGGTGTGTGTTGGTGGTTACGAGGGGCGTTTGAATGTGGGTTACGATGGTATCTGGTGAGATGGTGGGTGTTAAGTGCGTGGTACCAGGTGCGGTTTCATTTTGACGTTTTTGTTTGGCGGTTCCCTTTTGTTGTTTCTCCTTGTGCAGTGTCACCAAGCATTACGCTTCAAGAACATGCGGGAAGTGACAAGTCCTGGGTGTGGCATGCTATCGATTTCGCAGACGGAGAGCAGAAGGACGAGTTGTTCGCCATGCGATTTGGCAGCGTTGAGAGTAAGTTCTCTTCCCTGAAGGGCCTTCCCTGAAGGGGGATACATCCTTGTCTTCATCTGTGGAATTTGCGGAAAGGAAACTCTCGGCGATTGACGGTAAATATTCGTGCAATGAGGCATTTGCACTTTGGGAGCGTGTGTTTTATTGCGATACGGACGTTGTTGTTGGGAGTAGCGAATTGGTCTCTCCAGTCTGTGCTGTGGTTCGAGTATCGCGTATAGTCTATCGGACGTAGGTGTTGGGAGTAGCGAACTGGCCTGTCCAGTCTGTGGCGTTGTTTGGATATCGCGTATAGCCTATTTCGTGACGTAAGGGGGCATGGGAGGTTTCATCCGCGCCGCGTCGAGGGCGGACGTCGAGATGCGCGCACAGGTGTGCTTGTCTCATCTGATGTGCGAGGTCGAGGGCAGACTTCTTTCCGCTTAGGTGAAACTATATTGCATTTGTTTCGTTCGCGATCATCGTCTTCGTGGGTTGAGGTAACGGTGTGTGGAAGCCGATGCGGGAACAGGCGTGCTTGTCTCATGCGATGTGACATCCCTTTCCGTTTAGGTGAAATCGTGTTGCATTTGTCTTGTGCGTCATCGTGGTCTTCGTGGGTTGAGGCAATCGTGTGGAAGGCGATGCGCTCGCAGGGGTGCTTGTCTCATGTGATGTGTGAGACCCCTTTCTGTGCAGGTGAAAACGTAGTGTTTCCTGCGCGATCATCGTTTTCGTGGGTTGAGGTAACGGTGGTGTGTTCAGAGGTTTACGAATGCGTTTCTCTGACAGCTGTTTGCGGTTTTGTCTTGTCTGACGCACAGGTGCCGAGAAGTTCAAGAACGCTTTCGAAGAGGCGCGGTCAACGATGTGCGAATTATTGGGGGTGAAAGCTGAAAACCAGGAGCAGGAGGACGAGAACGAGGAGGAAGACAAGGAAGAAGAGGAGGTGGAGGGGGGGTTCACGGTTGTAAAAGGGATGGAGAAGCTCAAGGTGGAAGATGGGAAGGACGCGAAAGATGCGGAGGAGGCTGCGAAGCAGCAAGAGACCGTATGAACAGGTGACTGTATTTACTACCGAGTTCTATTGTTCGAGCTTGAAGGAAGAATGACGTGATGTCGAGCGGCAGGCGAAAGTGGCTGCCTAAAGAACCGAGCTCGGACCGATCTGCCATCTTCTGAGCGCATCATGGCCGCAGGCTGTTGCGCGCGCACTTATATTTCGATTGGGCAATTATGACTGTGGAGCGTAGCGTGGGGCTGTGCTCGATCCAAGGCTTGCGCATTCGGTCGTTACCTGTCCTGCGTGTCCTTTGCTTGCTCACTGGGAATAGTCGGCGGATGGCCTTGTTTTTAAGATATGGTGTTCGTCATGTTATTGGATGGAGAACGTGGGCAAATGGCGATCGCAGAGGTGAGATGCAGGGGGACGTCTGCTGAAGTCGTGGCCATCGGTTTCCTTGGAATCTTTGTTCTGCAGCTCCGGTGATGGTCTTTTCCTTTCTTTGGTCACGTGGGTGAAATCTATCCAGTAATCTCCGTTCTTTATCCTCGCGTTCCTGCTGTTAGGGTTAGCGGTCTTTGATCTCTTAGGAAGCGCATAGCGTATCAATTCCCTCGGAGTTTGCTGTTTCTGTATCTCTTTCGTTCTTAAGGGTGATATGTTCAATCGGTTTTCTCTTAGTTGGCTCTCTTCGCATTTCAGCTCTCGTTGGGGTGATAGATTAAGGAGCTTTTGTTTGAAATCAATGTGTGCCGGCCATCAGCCTGCTATGTGTTTGAGAGAGATTTTCCGTCTCGGAAAACGGAGGAAATGCCATTGGAAGGGCAGACTGCAATTGATGAGGACGAGCGGGATAGGTAGAGAGTAGAGTTTCGATCGTCCTCTTCAGCTTGTGATGTCTTGACGTGTTCTTGTTCTGTTTTTTTTTTGTTTTGCCCGACTCGCTTTGTCATTGATTGTGCGAAGACTCGAAAGCGGATGAGTTTCAAATTTGTTGCCGTCTATAATATGTCAAGCAAGTGAAGTGGGTGGAATATGCATCAAGGGTCTCCGGTCGAGTCCGTTTGGGGGGCCTCTGGGTCGAGGACACGGTTTTTTTCAACGGTAATGTTTTTTTGATTTGTCAATGAGCTTGTTATGTGCATTACTGAGTGATCTTATACGCAAACCGGCTGATGGCTGTTTCGTGCAATTAATGTTGTGATAGAAATCGAGCACGAACTGTATTGTTATGGTCCTTGTCCTCGCCGCTGGTTTGATCTTTGAGTCTTATCGACGCTGTTTGCACTTTCCGGTCTGAAGTTCCTGTTGTCATGGTCCCAGTATATGCAAGGATCTTACCATGTATATGCAAGGATCTTGTCATGACGGTCAGAAGGTTCCCAAAAGATCTTTTTTCATTTTCGTTGCTACACTCTTGAAAGCTTCCTGTCGCTTGTGCAAATTCGGTCTGTTTCTCACCTGCGTAGTAAACTGGGTGTCTGTCTGTCACTTGTGCAAATTGTGTGCCCGTCTGTCGCCTGTGTCATCCGTCCCTTGTGCAAATTTGGTCTGTTTCTCACCTGCGTAGTAAACTGGGTGCCTGTCTGTCACTTGTGCAAATTGTGTGCCCGTCTGTCGTCTGTGTCAATCCGGCCTGTCCGGGCCAGTGTTAATTTAGTGGGTGTCTTTTACTCGAGTAATTGGGTGTCTGTCTTGACCTTTGTAAATTGGTTCTGTCTGTCACCTGTGTAGACTAGGTGTGTCCCTCGCCTTTGGAAATTGGGTACAGTGGTGCATGAGTGCTGTGCATTCATTTACCATTGGGGTTGGCCAAGGTATAACGGGATGTGTGTTTGAGTTTCTGGCAAGAAGTGAACTGGAACAAAACGGAAAGAGGGTATAATCGTTGATACCCTTTTGCCAGGCAGGAGAAGGAAGGAGAGGATGTTTAGGTACGTCCTTTGCCTGTTTTTTCTGCTTTTCTCTGTTTTGTAAATAAGCTCTCAGCTTTGTGGGAATGTTTTGGATATAGGCATGGCTGCACCTTGCAAATTCCACTTTGTGCGTGATGTCTGCGAAGTCGACATTTTTGCACGCAGACGATGGCACGCAATGGCAATGAGACCGTCTACTGGCGAGTTAGAAACGTTGCACTTCACATCACAGGGGACTAAAACAATCATTAAGACTTCTGTGAGTGAATTTGTTCGTAACTGCTGTCTTCTCTCGCTGCTAAATCAGTGTGGGAATGTGTTGGAAATAGGCATGAATGCATTTAGGTTGACATTTCTGCGTGCATTCGATGGCACGCAGTGGAAATTGCGGTGAACTGGAAACGTTTACATCTCAGGGGACTACAGCAATCATTAAAACTGATATGGCTGAATTTGTTCGTAATTGCGGTCAACCTCACTCGCTGCTGAATCTGTGCGTAATTGCGGTCTTCATTTAGTGAAGTCCACTCTCGAGTATGCCCGTAGAAGAGATGTAAACGGGAGAAGATCAGACGGTCCGTGATTGGGGTGGATAAGAGAGGACTTTGTTTGTTGAATAACCTTCTTTAGGTGGCCTTGAGCAGAGCCGTTTGTGAACAGGGAAGGATGGGTAGGATCTGCGGGTGTGAATTACGCAAAATATGACCTTCACCGGCTTCAATGCCCTTTCGCACTTATGCAAGTTTAAATTGACTCTCCCTTCTCCATGCCCGTGCGCAGGGGCCGAAAGCTTGATATTATATTCAGCTGGGGTTGGTCTCATCACTCTGTCCTCGTAGGGGGAATCAGAACAGTGGTGCAAGATAATCTGTGCGTTAGTATTGTGTTCGTAGTTAAGGGAGACTGATTTGTGAAGCATTTGATATTCCATTGGGGAGTATGCCCTCCGACGGCACATCTACGACAGTCGTATCATTTAATATATATTGAAAAATCCACCTTCGGAGATGGAGTGCAGAAAGGGAGGCTCAATTTCATTCCAGCAGGAAGGGCTATAGTTGAACGGGGTCGATGTGGCTATTAAATCGTTCACGTGCAACTGTTAACAAGCAGGTCATGAGTTCGAAATCTGATTGGCGCAGATGGTACAATGAGATGAGGGGTTGCCCGAGGAAACAAAAAGCAGACGAAGTGGTAGCAGCGTGCATTGTGGGTGACTTCAGGCGGTAGTACTCAAGGTCGTTAAACCCGGTTTTGCAAGAACGACGGTGAGGTGCGCGGGAAGATGCGCGGGAAGTTCTGGTGTTCCTATCTTTGCCCTCTTCTATTGGTTGCAGAGGGCGTGGCACGTGACTGCAGGTCGCTCCTAATACACATTGCGGCTGGAAAACAGCATGCACAGGGCCACAAGTTTTTTGCAGTGCTTGAAGTTCGGAAGATGATGAAATTTATGATATCACTCGCAGTCTTTGGAGCTAGAAAATTGGATGAGTGGAACATCGTCGGATAGAAGTCATGGAAAATCCGCCGGGGTCTGTGTACCTCCTTGGAACTGTTGACGGGGTCGTTTGCTCTGTTGGGCACCTTCGTGCTTAATTGTTGCCGGGGTGACTGTTCTTCTGCTCTGCTCGGGACTGCGGCTTTCACAGCAGTCTATCGAAATGACACCCAGTACCAGGCTTGTCACTGTGACTCTTTTCCCACCCCTGAGCGTCGAGAGACTTACCCAGTACCCAGGTCAGTGTTTACCCGGTTCCTATGGGATTTGAGCCGAACGGGATCCCTCTGGGGACAGACTGAACTGGGTACTGGATGAGCGTACGATTTTACCCCACGAACGGACAAGGTGGGGCAGGGGATCCTTCAAGGTGATAGAGGAAGTCCTTGCCTGGAGCATTTGCGTTTGATGCTGTTATCTTGATGGGTGAAGAGGAGGCCGGATGTGTTTGTATGCTCTGTATTGGTAAGTTTATAGCGGTGTGCTTATGGGCGAAGAGGCCAAATGCATGTGGTTACCTTCTGTCGCTATGCATAAAGGTATGCTGAACCCAGGATCGAGGAGGTGCTCTCGGCCTATAGTCTGAGGCCTCTGGACCTCTGGGATCCCTTGCTGCAGGTGACGGGCTGCAATCGGTTTCATTAACTGCTGTGCTCGTGTGACATGTATTTTGCGGTTCTTGTTTTTTGTGAAGTGCTCTGTGCGTTTCTGGATATTCGTTTTCCCACAGAAGATGTTAAGCACTCGACACTGGCCCAGTTGCTAGTGATTGCTTGCCATGGGTCGGTGTGAAGCTGACTCGTTACAAAGACGAGACTGAAGCAATATGGTGCTCTCTTTCTGAGTGTGCTAGGTAGCTTTAACTTTTGCCGCATTTTTATCCCATTTGGATTCATAGTGCTGTTTTTTTAACAGCAGGTAGGTGCGTGTACCGTTTAGTCTCATGGGATGGGCTTCGTTTCTTTTTCCCCATTTGGTCCTCAGTGCTTGTGGATAGCCTTCAGTCTCAGGCGAGCTCTCAGGCTGTAGGTCTGCTGTACTTGCTCCCGCTCCAGTCTATGGGTGAGGAGGAATGACTTCGGGCCACCCGTTCCCAGCATTCCAGTATGCAACATGAACGGTGGCAGCAGGCTCCCTATTTCATTTTTTGATGGCCTTGGGACGTCATCATCAAACAGACCAGCCATAGGTAAAATTCTGAATTGTAGTTTCACTGATCTGTTTCCAGCAAAGTTCGAAGTCGGGCCTATATTTCAACAGTTCAGCGGTGTATCAACGTACCAACTGGACTACGCCATTAGGTGCAGGCTCCCTTTTTCGAAGATGGCCTTGGGCTCCCTTTTTAAAAGACTGCCTTATCTATGTTTCCAGCAGAGGTCGAACTTGGGCCTATATTTCAACAGTTCAGGGGTGGAGCAACTGAACTAGGCCATTTGGTGCAGGCTCCCTTTTTAAAAGAAGACTTCATGGTGAACTTTGTCATCACTGGTGTCCTTTCTGATGGAAGTCACTTCGAGATAACAGTCTGGCCTTCTGTGTTCATACAGTCTGGCCTTCTGTGTTCACACAGTCTGATAACTTAGGGGTAGCCAAGCCACAGATAGCATTTGACTCGGTAGTGTTCAAGCCAGAGCACTGGTTCACTGGATGCTTTCAGCGTGAACTTCAGAACGGAACTGTTGAGATGGCACCTGGTGTTACATGCCCAGTTGGGCGATGTACATAAATAACCGAGGGTCCGCGATGTGATGAAAAGGACTGAATGGACAATGCAGTGCAAGTGAAATCTCAACAAGCAGTGTACATCCGAACGTATACAAAAATGGTGCTTTATAGTGCAGTGGAGGACATAGATACAAGTCCTGACCTGACCGGGACTGGCTTCTCTCACGTAGTGCAAGACAGCACGGTAGAAGGCTAGAATACCAATTACTAGCCCAATCAATGTTGCAGTACAGACCAAACATACATCATCCTCATCACAAGGTGTGAAGGGGCCTAGCGCTACACACAGGAAGAATGTGCCAGGTCCAGTTCATACACAGATGACGGGGAGCAGACGAAGAAGGGGGAAGATGGGAGGGGAGCAGACGAAGAAGAAGGGGGAAGATGGGAATGTTGTCAACACCAAGTTTTCGTTACACGTCCCAGATCATCCCTCGTCAAATTTCTGAAGCCCAATGTCGAGTCTGGATCCAAATGTCACCAAGCCGGCTCTCTCAGTCTGCTGATGCAGTGAAGTGAGGTAGCGAGAGGGTGAGAGGGAGATGGAATGAGAAGAGGAAGCAGAAAACTCTCTTATGTGCCAGGTACTAAGCTGTGAAGATGGCACCGTGCTGCAGGTACCGCGAAGGCGAAGCTGGAGATATGGCGCTGCAGGTAAGTCTCCCTGGCATCCGCCCAATCTCTCTCTCTCTCTAGTACTACTCTAGCTCCTAGTAGCGCCTAGCGCTGAAGACTACTGCTAACGCTACTAGCGCCCAGCGCTGAAGACTATTGCTGGTGCTACTACTACTGCAGCGCTCCAGAGTGCTGCTGCCGAATCCTGAAGACAACCTCCTGCCTCCTGAACTACACGTGAAGTGCCTGGGAAGTACCTAGTAACTATCTCCAGCCTGCAGGGCGGGCCAGTCTTGTATAGTGCTGGCCCGTCCAGGAGGCTGCTCTTGCCAATGCCAAAACGTGCCAGACCCTGGGGTTGAAGCTCAAACAAAGGTTGTCTTGAAAATAGGCCATAAATGGCCTGAGCTAAAACCCTGGTCTGGTGCCTGAGTTTCAGGGCAGGTCGATCTTATGCGGGCCTGAAAATGGCCCTCCGTTTCAAGCTGAAAAGACTTAGGGCCGAAAAAGCCCTGTTTTAGGCTGAAATGACACAGGGCCTGTAGGCCCTTGTTTCCAAGCTTTCAGGCTGAAATGGTTGTGTATTTTATTTGAGTTTCATGTGTTATTATGTAATGATGGATTACCGAAAACAA